GATTTTTGGCGTTGAATACTACTTTACAACTGCAAGCCTAGCTATTGACTTGCACTTGCTGTGCAGCCCCCTTCACCTGAACACGGCAGGGAGTACAATGTTTGCCACGGTGCTCCACATAGCGACACAAATGCTCCTGTGCACAGGACTGTCTGGTAACCATTAAACTATGTGACTGATGTGGTGGGGTAAGGTAGGAGACCTTTAAAAAAGCTCCTTGACCGCTCTATTTCACCGCAAATCTAAGCTAGGCCTTAGAGAGATTCACTACCTCTATTTGTCCTGGTAACCATTACAACAAAAGTGAAGGAAAAACCCAATTTTGGGTGGTCACCATTGCATATCTTCCAAAGGGGCACACTAGTTCTGATAACCTTGGTGTCTACCAGAGATTTCTCTCACTTTGAAGAGTTTTGAAGGGAAATCTCTCCAACGAACAGAGATGACAAAAAAGGACAGGGGTTAAAACCCTCCCTTACTCTATTCAAAGGGAAAAGAAAAGTGTTGCCTCCAGTCATATGTTCTCCACAGCTACTGGTGAGACAAAAAATAAACCGCATGCTCTTTGTTTTCATTAGTGATCGGTGTCTTGGCAGAGCAAAGTTTGAGAAAGGCAGAAGGCCAGAGAATAGTCAAAGTCCAGGCTGAGGACAGGGTAGTCAGCAGGCAAGAGGATAACATGAACAGAGTTTTCAACTGGGCCGGAGACACGAACAAGCTTAAGCAATCCAGGTCAGATACAGGTAAAGCAGAAACAACAATAACCTCAGGCACTAGATAGATGGCAAGAAGACACAGCACCGGCCACCATAAGGTAAGGCATTTAAATATCCTCCAAGGTCAGTGTGCACGCCCAGCTTCAGAGACACATGCCAATGCATGCTAACTGACCAGACCCCAGGATGAATAGACGCAGACCGTGGAGGTACTGTAAGACTCGCACCCACCAAAATCTCTATAGGGAGGAGAGCTCTTCTTTATTTTGGTTCCAGCAGTAAATATGAGGTGAAGCCTGGATCAGGATAACTGCTCTGAAGCACACACCAGATTTCTAGTATCTCATGTTTACTTTACAACTTACCTTTCAGCAAAGCTACAATGTTACAAATATCTGTGATTAGCAGCTGCAAAGGAGACCTGTGCAGATAATCACAGTGGAAGAAATATTATTAAAGGTCCTGTTCACTTCTAGTTCATATGCATTGTTTTCTATCTCTTGTCCTGATGAAGGGACATTTTTGGACCTCTAAAACGCACTGGATACTCTTTTGATGACTCCCTAGACCATGGTTTCTTAACCAGGGTTCCTCCAGAAGTTGCTAGAGGTTCCTTAAGCAATTTTTACCTCTCAGGTAAGTTCCCACTGAAATCATTGATCTTTTTAGCTATCTGTAAGGGGATATTTCTTCCCAATGACCACAAGTGTAAGGAGCATTCTCCCCAATGACCATCTTACTAATGTATCATGAGTTATAGATATAATATTTTTTTATCAGGGGTTCCTTGAGATTGGAAAGTTATGTCAAGGCTTCCACTATGTTGAAAAGGTTGAGAAAGACTGCCCTAGGCACTGAGTGGGATTAAGTCGTATCTGGACCTTCTAGAAGTGGTGTGGCACTTCAATTCACATTTTTGTTACCTTACACTACAAGCCAAGGATACTATGGAGAACCTCTCGGGTGTAGAAGCCACATGCCCATGAACTAGATCACCCACATCAACATCACTATATTAAAGTGGTTGCAAATCTCAGACATGAAAAATCAACAAAGCATATTCCTCTGTAGCAGGGTTTCGCAACCTGGGTTCCTCCAGAGGTTGCTAGGGGCTCCTTGAGCAATGAGAACTTCCTGCCTCTGACACCATTGATATTTTTAGCTATCTGTAAGGGGGTATTTCTTCCCAATGACCACAAGTGTAAGGAACATTCTTTCCACTTATCATCACACAGAGGAGTTGTAGGAGTTGTAGTAATTTTTAGTGGGGTTCCCTGAGACTTGAAAGTTATTATATCAAGGGTTCCTCTGTGCTGAACAGATTGAGAAAGACTGCTCTATAGTGTGTACTTGTCTTAATCCAGAACACTAAGGGTTTCATTTACTAAAGCTAGAGAGTGCAAAGTCAGGCTCATGTCTGAATAGAAACCAATCAGCTTCCAGGTTTAATTGCCAAAGCGTAATCGAACAAGCTGAGGTTAGAAGATGATTGGTTTCTATGTAGAAGTGAGCCTGATTTTGCACTCTCCAGCTTTAGTAAATACCCCCCTAAGTGTCATTTCTGACTGCTACCTCCTTCCTCTGCTATCAGCATAAATTACTTCTGACAAGTTTTCTTGACACGAAGAAAAAAATGGTGACGGGGGAGAGCACAGCCTGTGATTGACAGCCTGAGCTCTGTTCCTGTGAGCTGTGTGGAGGAGGGTGTGTCTCTTCCCTCCAATCAGCTCTCAGAGCTCTCCTCACTGATGTTACTGCAGCTCCCCATGCTCTGCTTTTCAGAACTGAGAGATCCTGTGTAAGTTCTGCATTTTGAATGGCTGTAGAGAAGAGAAGACTGCAGATAAATAGGCATAAGGTATGTAGGAGGATTTGTTTTAATCTCTATGTATCACCTGAGGTCAGCACTTCACTGGGTATATGGAGGGGTTTACAACAATTTTAAGATAGGATAGCAATACCAACAAGATAATGTTGTGGGGGCAGAGCTATTTTTCTGCCCACCTTAATTAGATTTTAGCACCTTGTATGTGTAACTGTCACCTAGAAATGAGGTTTGGGTTTGTGGCAACACAGGATTCAACACGCCAAATCTCCAGGTAGGTAGGAAGTTATTCATTTAGAGAAGGTGTTACTACAGCCATTAAATGCGACAGCTTCCTGCTCATGGCCCTCATTTGATGCTAGGACATTGGCATCCTAGCAACCAAAAATGCCCCATTCAGCTGCCCTCAGGGAGATTCCTCAGACTATAGATAAAGAGGCAAGGATGCTGGCTGTCATCATTGGTGAAATATAGCCATGGCGTCATCCAGTATGCCATCCCTTTGTTTGCATTCAGCTGCCCTCTGAAGATTCCCCAGAATGTAAACAGAGACACGGATGCTGGCTGATGTCATTGGGCAACTATAGCCATGGCATAATCCAGCATGCCCACCCATTTGTTTACATTCATCTGTGATGAAAGTCTGTCAAGAGAAGACAATTGACACGGGTCGTTATTTACATGTCATGGAATCAGCATTCATTGTAATTACTGAAGGATCTGCATCACCAGATGACAATGGATACATGCTTTGTGGCATTTTTGGGGGGATTAATGAAGGACAGAACAGTAAAGGGGGGTCATTACTCATTCATGCAAGGGCAAGGATTGAATATCTAAAGGCCCCCTTACCTTAAAAGGGGCTTCCAGATACCCCCCCTTGCAGACCTCCACATCCACTAAGGTCATTGTCAAAATCAACATTGGAACATGGTGCCTTGCAAGGGGGTTACATGCAATTAGGGAGTCCAGCCGGTCCTGGACACAGAGATGGCATTTCTGGCCACATACAAACTAGCAGCAGCTAATCTGCACATCTGAACACAGCCGCCTATCTTCCCCCATTCATTCATGTGAACAAACCCTAAAGAATAAGGCTGAAACCACATGTGAATTTTGCCCAGATGTGCTTTCTAAGACTCATGAACACTTGATATTTTTACAGCTTTTGTTTTTGGCTTTTGACATTTTTTTCTACAGCTAATAAACCCCCCAGCATGTTATCCTATGTGTCCATACACACATAGACTGTAGTCAATGTTTTTTTGGCAGGATGTTTTTGGCTGGAAAAAAAACCCAGGACTAGTGGGTTTCTAGAGGAGTTTTTTAGCTGTAAAAATGCTCTAACACTGAAAAACATGTCAAAACATGGTAAAATGCAGCAAACCGGCGTTTCTGGCCAAAAAAACACAAATCCGGAAAACACAGGAAAATGCCGTTAAACGCAGCATAACACTGCTAAACGCTAATGCAAAAACGCTTAAAAAAGCTGAAAAACTCACATTTTTAATGTAACTTTACACAGCTAACGTTACGAGCATTATCAAAATGTCCAGTGTGCATGAGGCCTAATAGGCCACATGCACACAGCAAGCTTTGCTAACTCTCCCTAGAAGCCTTTCCTCCTGGCAGCAGTATTTTAACAGAAAAAAAGCTTAACGCTTGTAAAAGTATGTAATGCATTTAGACTTGTCAAGCACTTGGGTGTTAATTAATTTCATTGGCCAGAACAATAATTTATTGTGGCCAATGAAATGAATTAACGCTCAATCGTTAAGGCACGTTTGTACATGTTTACACGCATTTACAGACATGAAGCGTTTTTCCTGCCAAAATGCTGCTGCTTTTGGGGATTTTTTTCTGCCTCTAAACACCTCTAAATGCCTATGTGTGCATGGAACTGGAGCATGTAAAATCTGCTGCAGCTCTACCTTAGAAACCAATCAGCTTCCAGTTTTTATTGTGAAAGCATAATTATTCAGCTTCATGCACACAGGCCTTTTTTTTATCCACTTGAAAACAGGGCACTTATACCCCCTTCCTGCCCAGGCCAATTTTCAGCTTTCAGCGCTGTCACACTTTGAATGACAATTGCGCAGTCATGCAACACTGTACTCCTATGTATATGTAAGACAGATAGAGCGTTCTTTTGGTTGTATTTAATAACCTCTGGGTGTTTTATTTTTTGCTAAACAAACCAAAAACAACTGAAAATTTTGAAAAAAAAAAAAATTTTTTTTTTTAGTTTTTGTTATAAAATTTTGTAAATAAGTGATTTTTCTCCTTCACTGATGTGCGCTAATGAGGCTGCAGTGGGCATAGGGCATTGATAGGTGGCACTGATGGGTACTGATGAGGAGGCACTGGTAGGTGGCACTGATGGGCATTGACAGGCATCACTGATGGGCACTGAAAGGCAGCACTCATATATGGCACTGTTAGGCGGCACTGATTGGCGGCACTGACGTGCACTGATAGGCGGCACTGACTGGCACTGATAGGCAGCACTGATAGGTGGTACTGACTGGCATTGATAGATGGCACTGACCGGCACTGATAGGTGGCACTGAAAGGCAGCTCAGATGAGCACTGATATGTGGCATTGATGTGCACTGGTAGGCATTAACATGTGGCATTGATGAGCCCTGACAGCTGGCATTGATGGACACTGACAAGTGGCACTGCTGTGGCTACAATGATCATCGGGGTACACTGATTATCAGTGCCCTGATGATCAGTGTACATGTCCCCTCTGAAGAATGCCGATTACCGGCTCTCCTCTCCTCTCGAGCTGTCAGCGTGACAGCTTGTGAGGTGAGAAATGCCGATAAACCGACATTTCCTTATTTACATGCGATCAGCTGTGATTAGACACAGCTGATCACATGACCGAGGCTACGTCTTCAGCTCTTTCCGTTGATCGGTGATCCACTGTCAATCGCCGTGCTGTGCGCCCCCGGAGCCGCGCAGTTAGCATGGGATGGCATCATATGACGTCCTCCCAGAACAAGAGAACCGCCTTGCACCCGTCATTTCTTTATATGGCGGGCGGGAGGCGGATAAAAATGCTTCACTTCTTGGCAGCAGCATTTTGGCAGAAAAAACGCCTAACGGTTGTAAAAGTATCTAATGCTTTTAGAAGTGTTTAGGCACGTTTACAGGCATCAAGCATTTAGCCACTAATTTATTTCATTGGCCAGAATATTATTATTATTATACAGAATTTATATAGCGCTAAAAGATTTGCTCAGCGCTGTACATTATAGTGGGGGACAGAACATGGGACAATACAGTAACAAAACAAAACACGAGGGGTTCAAGGGCCCTGCTCTTTCGAGCTTACAATCTAGGAGGGAGGGGATAGTGGTACAGGAGGAAGTGGCTGTGGGGGATGGAGTGGTAGGAGGAGTGGAGGAGATCGACTGTTAGGTGAGGGCGGGGTAGGCTTCCCTGAAGAGATGGGTTTTCAGGGTGCGCCTAAAGGTGAGGAGGGTAGGTGACAGTCTGATGGATTGGGGTAGTGAGTTCCAGAGGATGGGGGAAATATGAATTTATTCTGGCCATTTAAATGAATAAGTGCTCAAGCACTAAACACGTCTAGCGTTAATACGTGGAGGGGGCATTTGGAAGCAGCAAAAAAAAAAGCCAGATTCCCCAAAAAGTGGCTGCAAAACCCTCTCTGTACATGAGGCCTACAAGCTGAATTTATAAGCTGACTGGCTACCATGCATAGCTGAACCAGATTCTGAGTGCACCAGTTTTAGTAAATCATCCCATAGGGTATCATGCAGGGGAATTTAGAGGCAGAAAGAAAAAAAAGACCAGACGTCCCAGGAGCAGCTGCAAAAACATGCAGTGTGTATTAGGCCTTAAAATCAAAGAAAACGATTGTCTCGTTTAATCAATTCATCTTATTTCAGTAGAAAACACATCTGGCCAAAAGGCACAAGTGTGTTTCCAGCCTGAGTAATTTTGCAACTGATTTGGATGCTCAGCTGATACAACGGAACTGGGGGATGAGCAACAAGTAGGCCCATCTAAAGGGCTGTCAGGGAAGCCTTACTTCATCATACTCTGCTTTCCTGTTCACTTCGCCCCCGCCTTTTCCACTGGCTTTTTTAATCACTTGTTATACTGAAGAAACTTAAAACGTGTTTTAACGTAGGCATCGCAAAAGGAAACTACCATTCAGACATTTATTGTCAAGATCATGCTGAAACAACACCTGAAAGAGGAGGTGACAGATGACTGGGAACCTTCCCCCTTTTAGGTCCCCCCCCCCCAAGTGTCAAAACAGAGGTCAGACTTGGAATTTGCATCCACAGAGAGGTTGTCTTAGTTAGTGCTTTCAGGCTGTTATTTGTCACGCTTCAGAAAAATGGGGGCTTTAAACTTGCCATACACAAAGGTGTCAACCAGCCCTGAAGACTTTTCTCCAGTAATGACCACATTACTTCAGCTCCAGAAAGTTTTACCCTTCATGACCTTTGTGACCAAGCCATTTTTTGCTGTTCGGCGCTGCATTACATTAATTGTGCAGTTATGCAATGATGTACCCAAATTAAATTTATATAATTTGTTCGAACAAATAGAGCTCTCTGTTGGTAATATTTGACCACCACTGAATTTTTTTAAATGTATAAACTAAAAAAGATCAAACATTTTTAAAAATATTTTTTTTTTACTTTTTTTACTTTCTGCTATAAAAAAAAAAAAAAAATATATATATATATATATAAATTCTGCATACATTTAAGCCAAAATGTGTTCTAACTTCTGCTACATGTCTTTGGTAAAAACAAAAAAACCCAACAAGTATTTAAATATACATTTTTTGCTATTCGGCGCTGCATTACTTTATTTGTGCAGTTATGCAATGATGTACCCAAATTAAATTTATATAATTTGTTTGCACAAAAAGAACTTTCTTTTGGTAATATTTGATCACCACTGAATTTTTAAAATCTATAAACTAAAAAAGATTGAACATTTTATAGAAATTTTTTTTTTTTTTTTAACTTTTTTTACTTTCTGATATATATATATATATATATATATATATATATATATATATAAAATGCTTCATACATTTAGGTCAAAATGTGTTCTGCTACATGTCTTTGGTATAAAAAGCAAAAAACCCAATAAATATATATTGATTGGTTTGCATGAAAGTTACAGCTCCTACAAACTATGGTATATATGGAATTTTTTTAATTTATATTTTTAATACTAGTAATGACCGTGATAAGAGACTTATAATGGGACTGTGATAGTGCAAAGGCAATCTGACACTAACTGACATTGGGTGGGAACTGACTAACTGCCACTGACATCTCCAGTGACATTAATACAGTGATCAGTGATTTTAATATACATGTTCACTCTACTAATAACATTAGCTGTAAAGGTGTTAACCATGTGCCTAACAATGTGTGATATGTGCATTGTGTGCTGCTTTTTACTAAATATCTCTCTGTTTCTGCTCCCTGCTTTGCAGGGAGAAGACACAGAGAGATTGTTCCTTCTGTACAGAGCCCTGTATTGATTGTCAACACAGGGCTGTGGGCTGTGATTGGACACAGCCGATCAGCGGGGGTCCTTGCCATGAATCACTGCTAACTCCCGATGTGCACAATTACAGTAGATGTAGGCACCTGGAAGAGGCCTGCACCTGGAATAGGCAAGCGACATACAGGTATGTTGCTCTGTCTGTACGGGCCACCCATCTGCTGTGCATCATGGCCAGACAGTCCACAAGTGGTTTTATGTATTTCTTAAAGAATATTTAATCCCAACATTTCATATTACTGTGTTCCACTACACTACTTTACCTGCCAATTGCTCGGCCATGCAACGCTGTACCCAAAATTAAATTTATATAATTTTTTTCACACAAATAGAGCTTTCCTTTGGTGGTATTTGATCATCACTGGATTGTTTTATTTTTTATTATACAAACAAAAAAAAAAAACCAAAACCCCTGAAAACAGTATTTTTTACTTTCTGCTATAAAACATCCAATAAAAAAATATTTTTTTTTTCATAAATTTAGGCCAAAATGTATTCTGCTACATGTCTTTGGTAAAAAAAAAACCAATAAGTGTATTTTGGTTTGCGTTGAAAGTTATAACGTTTGCAAATGGTGGTGTATATACTGGAATTTTTAGTTATTTATGTTTTATACTAGTAATGGTGGTGGTCAGCGACTTATAGTGGGACAATGATAGTGACACTTTGTGGGAACTGACTAAATGACATTGAAATCTCCAGTGACACTAATACAGTGATCAGTGCTAATAATATACATTGTCACTGTGCTATTTACATCTAGGGGAATCAAAGGGTTAAAGCAATTCTAAAGGTTCTTTTTTTTAGGGAAAATAACAAACATATATATACTTATCTGTGCTGTGTATAGTGGTTTTACACAGAGCAGCTTGGATCCTTCTCTTCTCGTATCCAACGCAGGCTCTCCTGGCCCCTCGCTCCTGTTGGCTGCCCCACAGCAAGCAGCTTGCTATGGGATCACCCGCTGCTCCATGTGTCCATTCACACACAAAGTCGTGGTTTAACCCCACCCCCTCTCTCTCTCATTGGCTGACTGGCTGTGATTGACTATCTCAGCCAATGGGGAGGCAGAGAATCGGGATAGCTGAGGCTGTTGTGCACATCGATGGATCGTGATGGGGCTCAGGTAAGTATTGAGGGGGCTGGGGGAGCTGCTGCACACAGACGTTTTTTTTACCTTCATGGTAAAAAACCTTCAGCCTTTACAACCACTTTAACTGTGTGCCTCAATTCCTGCGTTGCAAGGAGAAAAAAACAGCCAAAGCACTGTATTTGTAGAGAGCTCTGTGCTGTTAAAATTCGGGAAGTGAAGCAAAAAGAGCGCACCAACCTTGCGCATTACCTCAGTAAATCTGTGATTTTATTAAATAAAAAAAAAATATATATACTCACAAACAATGAAGTATAACAAGCATTACAGATCCTCAAAGGAACTAGGGAGTGTAGAGCCATCAGAGCTCTGATGAAGAAGGGTCCCCCTTCGAAACTCGTCAGCCTCACTTTGAGAGTCTACCCTCATGACGTGACTCACACTGGCTCTGCACTCCCTAGTTCCTTTGAGGATCTGTAATGCTTGTTATACTTCCTTGTTTGTGACTATATATATTTTTTATTTAATAAAATCACAGATTTACTGAGGTAATGCGCAAGGTTGGTGCGCTCTTTCTTTTTTCTTCACTTCACAATATCAGTCAGGCTTTGTCAGCCTTGTTCTAGAGCTGCACAACCTTCCATGCACTGGTGGAATTGTTTTGAGGTTCCTTCAACCCTTCCACCCCTGGTTTGAGTCCTAGAGCGCAGGAGGTGTTGTTTCTGTTTCTGTTAAAAGTTCGGCCATGGATGCTCATCCTGTGCACAAGTCATCATTTTATGGCTTATTTACCTTTTTCTATTAAAGGTACTTAAAGCAGAGCTCCACCCAAAAGGAGAAGTTCCGCTTTAAGCCTTTGTCCCCCATTAAGGATTGGCACCTTTGGGTAGCGGGTACACGAATTTGAAAGGTACCTGCTCCCACTTCCGCTGTGATTGCCTAGGTGATTGGAAGCAAAAGTTGTCTTCCCCCCTTCCCCCATCCCGTAGTCTTCTGGGACACATGACAGGTCCAAGAAGACTACTGGCCATTCCCAAAGTGCAGCGCCTCTCATGCATGCGCAGTGGCGCCTGGCTGTGAAGCCGCAAACTGTCACTGGATACCCAAATTAAAGATGCCAGCATTAGGGAGAAAAGACGGCCGGTGAAACCAGAGGTGGTGAGTACACCACTGGACCGAGGGACAAGTAAGTGACTGTATTTTAAAAAGTCAGTAGCTACATTTTTTGTAGCTGCTGACTTTTATTTATTATTTTTTCAGGTGGAACTCAACTAGATTTCACAAGCAA